TTGACCTTTTCATGGAAAATCGTGATCGGAGAGAAGCATTATAACAATGAGTTATAAATGACATAGAATAAAACAAAATCATTTTCCTTAAGAATCAGATTAATTTTTTAATGTAACTAGATATTATTATTGTGTTTTCTAATAAAAAAATTATAAATTATATAGGAATTGACCTGATTAACTTGATAAATTTAAAGATAACCCGAGTAACTATTATAAATATAGTTTGAATAAAAAATAAAAATGATATCTTTTTAAAAATATTAAAATAAAAACATAACGCATCGACTCAATTAATTAACATATTAAATTCACAACTTGAATAATAAAATTGAGATAATCTCAGGGAAAAAAAATCGAATCAAATTATGAAAATCAATTTCCAATCAATTAAATATTGAACAATGAGATTGAAAAAAATTGATAAAAAAATGAGTTAACTTGGATTAACTTGTCAAAGCCGCAACTTGTGTCATGTGATTGATATAACCTTATAAAAAACAAATCGAAATAAATTATAAATTTTAATTTTTAATCAATTTAATGTTGAATGATAAAATTTTAAAAAAATATTTTTAAAAAATATCCTAGTCAACCTCGATTAACTCTTAACTTAAGTAATGAGATTGAAATAACCTTATAGAAAGTAAATCAAAAAAATAATAAAGTCTAATTTCAAATCAATTAAATATTGAAGGATAAGATTAAAAAAATAAATCAACTAGAAAAAAAGCCAAACTTACAGCTCGGGTCATGAGTTCAGGATAAACAAATTTAATATTGATAGATTAAATTAAAAAAATAAAAAAAATATCCAAGTCAATCTGTGTTAACCAGTTAAACTCGTGAACAAAGTAGTGAGACCAAAAAAATTTTATAAAAAGAAAAACAATAAAAAAAACTATTTAGTCTAATTTTAAATCAACTAAATTTTAGGAAATAAAATTAATAAAAAAAATCAATTGTAAAAATAATACAAAAAATCTGAGTTAACTCTCAAAATTCACAATTTAAGTTATTCAACCGCAACATGCAAATCTAATATTAAATAATTAAAAAAATTTAATTTTAATTAAAAAAATATTTAAGTTAACAATGTTTTGCGACGAGGGATGCATTTAATTGCCCTTCTCTATTAGAATATGTTAATATTTTAAAAAGGATCGGATAATATTAAATTAAGAGTGAAGGAATTAAATACATTAGTAATCCATTTTTTCATAACATGATCAAAATAATTGCAAGCATAGTCTTGAAATTTTACATGGATCAACCTAGAATTAGACTTGAGTTACAGGTAAGGATGATTAATTTATGTTAATTTAAAAATTATTTTTACAAATATTAAAAAAATTAGTATTCTAATTAAAAAAATTAATAATTAAGTTTTATAAGATGATACATCAATCTAGATTTTTTTATCGTGTCAGGCCAAGGCCAAGACAATTCCTTCCTTCCTTCTTTTTTTTTTTTCTTTAACCCTGGCAGGTTTAGGTGCTGGGTTATCATCAGGCTGGTTTGATTTTTATAACTAGCGTTGCAAGTACCGGAAAAAAGGCCGAAAGATGTTCAATTTTCATCAAAAGGGCAAAAAAGAGAGGCAAAGTTCAATTGTGCTGATGTTGAGTTACAGTGAAACTAATAGTAGATCATTGGCTCGCACGGCGGATCAAATTAATTTTCTAACATAAAAAAATATATAGTTTCTGTTAATGTTCCTTCTATTAGAAGAATATATATATATATATATATATATGTGTGTGTGTGTGTGAGAAGGTTAATTTGACATAGTTCAATTAACTTGATAGATTTAAAGAATAATAATTGATAAAAACTTATATATGTGAAGGTTAATTTGATGTAGTTTAGCTAACTTGGTAGATTTAAAGAAGAATAATTGATAAAAACTAAGATTGATTCAAAATAAATAATTATTATGATTTTTTTATAAATATCAAGACGCCAACATATTAAATCAATCTAGATCAATTCAAGTTAATTTACTAATTTATTTATCGGGTTATAAAACCATAATAATCATGTAAAAAATAAATCAGAAAAAATTATGAATTTTAATATCCAATAAATTTAATATTAAAATAAAAAAAACAATTTAAAAAGAATAATTTTTTTAATCTGAATCAACTTTAGTTAACTTATTAAGCTCGCGATTGAGAACATAATACTGATAACTCAATAAAAAAAAATTAAAAAAATTAAGAAGTTTAATCTCAGATAAACTTAATGTTGGAGTAAGCAATTTAATTTATCATTGAAAAATTGATTAAAAAACAATACAAAAAAATCTGCAACTCAAGTTATAAGATAAGGATAACCTAATAGAAAGCAAATTAAAATAAATTATGAAATCTCATTTCTAACCAATTCAATATTAAATGATAAATTTGAAAAAAAAACTAATTAAAAAATAAAAAAAACTCGAGATAATCAAGTTAATTAGTTAAACTCATGATATAAGCTGTAATACTAGAATAATCTTAAAAAAAAAAATAAATAAATTATAAAACTTAATTCTTAATAAATTTAATATTGAAAGATGTAATTGAAATTAAAAAAACAAAAAATATATAATTTAGGAAAAAAAACAATTGAAATGAATAATATTTTATGAGGAAAAATATAATAAAATTCTATTCTCTTTTAGTTTTTTTTTTAACTATTAATGTTAATTTTTAATAATGAAAAAATAGGGTCATCTCGCCCACATCAATAAAATATCTCCCAAGGACCATGACTCTCTAGCTAGTTTTTATACAATTTGCTACATTTTCTGCTAGCATATTCATCCATAAACTGCTAGGTATTCTTGTATATTTGTTCTGACTTGTATTTATAAATCAAATAAAAAAATTCAAAAATTTCTTGTTTTACATAATTTCTTTTATTTGCAAATTTAAAAATCAATACTTGTGTTTCCAGTTTAGGCTCCAGGATTTGTCAATCACACAATTTATTTAGTTGAAAATCAACCATGTTTCCAAGCTTAAATAAACTTTATTTGATAATGAAGTTGGGAAATTAAGAATTAATAATCTATATTGTTATAACATTTGTTTTTTAAATTAATTTTTATTTGAAAATTTATCAATATATATATTTTAAAGAATATTTTTAATATTAGTATATTAAAACAATCTAAAAATAAAAAAATATTAATTAAAAAAAATAAATTTATCTTTTAAAATACGGTGTGGCTACATTAACAAACACTCTTACAAGTTTGCATTGATTTGATTTTGCTAAAATACACAATAGTTTAATCAAGATATTTTTGTATATTTTATTGTAAAATTTGGGCATGAGATTAACGAGAAAAATAGTATCGATTGAGAAATTAATCATACAACATTTGAATTGATCTTAGAATTACCTTTTGAGATAAATTGATTTGATTTCAAAATTTATGAAGATTGGAAATAATGTTTTTCTGTTCTCATTATGTTTTGGTGCTTATGATTTGCTAAGTGCGGTGTTCGTTTTGGATTAATTGCTGTTTTTTAATGATTAATCTCTTTAAACTGAGTTGTTTTTGTCATTAAATATTTTCTTGATTTTTATAAATTGAAATACGAAATTCTAAAAACCAATAGTTGTTTTATTGTTAATTAATTTATTTATTTTCATGATTTTTTATTTCCTTGATTTAACTGAAGTAGACAACCTCTATATATCAAATCCTATTTATGAACTTCAAATGACAAATCGCTACATCAAGAATTAATTTTTTTTTAAATAAATCTACTATAATTATCTTAGTATCCCATTGAATTTATAAATTTAAATTCAATATAACTAACTATTGTTATTAATAATTATTATAATTATTAATTAAAAAAATTCTATTGAAATTTAATTTGACTCCAACTAACCATTTTCATTGATAATTATTATAATTATTAATTGAGCTACTCAATCCTATTGAAAATTTAAATCAACTACAACCAATAATTTTCATTTGTAAATAACATGAAATTTATTTTTCTTTGAAAAGGACCAATATTATTTTAAATAAATTAAATTAATTTTTTTAATAGGTTATGTTTTTCTCAACAACATAACCTATTGAAACAACTATTGAAATTTAAATCGAATAGAACCAATCCTCTTAAAAAATATACTATAATTTAAATTGTCTACAAAAATATATTTTAATAGAACCTTTCGAGACATAGCTAACAAAACCTATTGATATTTAAATTGAATACAATTAATCTTATAAGAAATCCTAGTATAATTTAAATTGATGATAACAATTTTTTTTTTTAGATTAATGTGGGTGTCCGGATCAGTTTTCGCGCACCACGACTAATCCCACGGGTCCTGAAATTAACGATTATATAAACTTTTAGTAACCATCACATGAGCCAACAAGGACAATAACTTATTTTAATTGACAAATGTCATGGTTATATTAATTAAACTACTGAGTTAAAAAAAAATTGTATTTAAATTTAAATTCACTTTTAATGTCGCTGATGCCGAGTTATTGTGAAAGCTACGTTACAAAATAGGGCCAGCTCGCCCACATCAATAAAATATCCCAAGGCCATCAAACCTGTGTTTTTTATACACAAATTTTAGAATATTGATTTCCTAGAGTTATCCGCGAGCAAATACAACCTTCCACTGCAGTTACTGGACCAACCCAAACCAAATGATGTGGTTTTTTATTTTATTTTAATATTTAATAAATTTATGTGTATTTCAATTAATTTTTATAATAAATTAATTTTTTTTATTTTAATTTCCAAGCACTTGCTTAACCAAATCAAACACCCTCTAGTTTCATTATATGATATAGATAGATAGAAGTATTTACACCGGCTTAAATCATAAGTTAGTTGGATTAATTCACGGATTAGTGAGTCAATCCTTATTCATCTTAAAATAACATTAATTAAAAAATTAAATCATTGTTTTAGATAAAACAAAAGTAATTGTATAGAATCTCAATTACAGAGCAAAACGACATCGAAATATAATAAAGGAAAGTGATTTAGGTGCCCACTCTGATAATGGTTGAATTGCGAATTGTATTTAGATAAGAACCGGAAATAATTAGAAAAAATGATGATCTTATTTCAATAGTGAAAGCAATTAAAAGGGGTGTATAGCAATGAAATGCTTGGTTCCTTTAATTCCAACATATCCTAGGCAGGGAGTGAGTTCCTGCATCATCCTCGTTAGCTTTACAGAAGAGGGACAGACAGCGCTCAAGGAGTTACACTTGGGAACTTGCACTGTCCAAAACCTGAAAGAGAATTACAAATTCAGTGCTCACAAATATATTTTTCATTCATTCAAATTACAATTTTAGTTGTGTTTTCCTTATTCTAATCAAAACTTCTTTTTTTTTACAATACAAATATTTTTGTTAAAATGATATTAAAATCATAATATCAAAATATCTAAGTAACTTTAGGTTATTGTTTCGAGACATAGAATGTTTAGATTGTGTAGATAAATAATGCATGTCTTCTTATATATTTATATTTATTTTAAGATTGTCTTATAAATAGATTTATTTTATATTTATATTTTTGTCTCTTTTACGAACTCATTTTTATCTTTTATGCTGTGGATTACTAATCCGACCCATTTTTTAAAAACACCTAAAACATCAAATTTAATGATTTTACAGTCCAAACTCGTTTTATAAATCACATTAAAATGCATTACAACCACGTCAGCAAACAGTTCCTTACACTCTTTTTGCTCAAATAGTGTACAAACCTTTACCCAATAACAATAAATAATTATTGAGGCTCTGTTTATCTAAATTTTTGCCTTTAGAATTGAAAATAATGTTTTTCTGTTTGAAAGTATAATAATAATATTTTTTTAAATATTTTTATATAAAAAAAATATTTTTAACATAAAAAATAAAAATAATTATTAATTTAAAAATAAATTAAAAAATAATTTTTTTAAAAAAACACTTGAAAAAAAAAAACGAAGCACGCCCTAAATCTAAAAAATGCAGAAGCAGGGGCTTAGATTATCGGTGATGCATATCTACAAGGACACTGGGTCCCACGTACCTCAAATCTTACGATGGCAGTGAGGCATCGATAGCATCACTTCTAATAAAAACAAGGGAAAAGCAAAAGACAAAAAAGAACAACAGACAACTCGGTAACTTACTTGGGTCCTTAACCGTCGTTGTAGCCAGCCCGTTGAAAGAGCAGACCCCACCAATCTTCTTAAATTCGGCCCAATACGAACTAAACGCATAACTCGCGTGCCAAAACAATGAAACCGGTTTATAACACCCTTTCCCGGGTTGGATCTTGTCACAGGTTGTGTTCCCCTGTGAACAAGCCCATGCTAAGGCATCTTTCACTGCGCTCCTGTTGGCTTCCTTAGCCACAATACACCATAGCTTCCCTTTATAAGGCTCATTATTGGTTGGCAACGGCAACGGCTTTTTATACCCCGAAAGCGGTGTCTTCCCACTCAAATCAATCTCGAGCACTTCTGTCCCATTCGGATAATACAACCCAAATTGTCGCTCCGTTCCCGGACCTGGTTTTTGGTTCTCGTTGTACAACGAAAAGATGAAAGCGGGTATGACCACACCGGGCTGGGCTGGGGTGCCGATTACTGGTATTGTGGCTAGCTTTTTTACAACGTTGCGATTGTACGTGGCAGAGTTGTAAATATTGGCTCCGAATTGTTCAAAATCTCCACCATTTGGCCAGCCCGTTTCTGCTATAAAAACCCGAATACCCGGATACCCGAGGCGTTTCATCGCAAAAACGACAGCATCAAACATTTGGTCAAAGAGGTTTGTGTAGGTCAAGTTTGTACCCGGGTCCGTATAAGTTACATTCTGGGCATTAAAAAGAGCGTAGTCTAAACTGATGTTATGTGCGTTTTCGGACCAAGCGAAAAAAGGGTAGAAGTCAATGAAAAAAAACGACTTGGTCCGGTTCAAGAATTGCAGCATCGGTTTAATGACCGTACCCGAAATGTCTGAACGAAACGTGCCGTTTGACGGTGGAAACGAAGATTCAAGAACGTTGATTGCTGATGGAGTGCCCACTTTGATTTTGCGGATGTTGTGTCTTGTTAAGGAAATCTTGATTCGACGCATGGCAGGTACGAGGTTGAACCATGTACCCGTGTCAGGATTGGTGAGGATTTCGTTTCCGACGAGGAGATATCGGATTTTGACATCTGAGTAGTAAGGGACAACATTGGTTTTAACCCACTGGTCTGAGAAATATTGGCTCTTGGAGATGTTCGGTATGAGGGCGTTAGGGACCATAATGGAGACCTGGATGTCGGTGTTTTTGAGAGATTTGAGAATGTCTGGATTGGCATCGTAGATTTTGACTCGCTTGGCTTTGAGAGATTTGATAAGCTCCACTGACCTTGAAGGAGATGGGAGATTGTTTCCTAGCTGACCGTAGTTTATGCCCACCTCGCTGGAAATCACTGCACCTGCAAGGGTGTAAACAATTTGGGTTAATTAGGAAAGGAGAGTCAAAAACACAAGGCTCCTCCCTATTGTTGAGCACTTTGTTTTCTAAGAGGCTAACCTTACCGGAAATGGAAATCAAGAGAGCGAAAATGAAGACATGAATGGCTGCTACGGGCCCCATTATTGCTCTGTCGCTTGAGGAGAAAACTTCTTCCGGTGGGGATGGAGCTGAGAAAGAAAGGGCGAGTCAGAATCTATGGGCTTTGAGGGGATGGAAAGGAGGGCATTAGAGGCTGACCAATAGAGTAACCTGTTTGTAAAGCGTCATAGGTGGAGTGCATTGAACATAGTTATAAGATACGGTCGGGGCTAATCCAGTCCGAGTCGAGAGCTATCCGAGTCCCAGCGAATCAATCAGTTTTTTATTTTTTATTTTTTTGTGGAGACGATATTGTTTTGTTTTTGTCTTAATAAAACAATATCTTTTCACCTTTTTTTCCCCTTTATTTTGGTTAAAAAAATCCAATTTAAAATGTTAAAAAATTACTAAATTAACCATCCATGCCAAACCAGAATTTATATAACTATCATTTTGGAATTCATGGTTTTTACTTTTTATTTATCTTTTAGCCTTGATTTTTTAAAACTTATTTCAAATCTCAAACTCATCCTTGAACGTTACAAAATTATGCAGACAAATCCTTAATTTATAATTACTAATTAGGACTTGGATAAAATTACTCATCTACTTATCTTGACAATTCAATTCATGCCGGGGACTTTGACCCTTGATTTCATTGGCATTCTCAATCATAACATTCAAACAGAAATAAGTATTATTTTTTAAAAATTATTTTTATTTTATAAATAAGTATTATTTTTTAAAAAATATTTTTATTTTTAATGTCAACACATCAAAACAATCCAAAAACACTTAAAAAATTAATTCATAACAAACCAAATAGAATTAAAGAAAATAGAATTTTTAGCTAAAAAACTGAAAATTACAATTAAAGATGTGAGATTTTTAGCTGGAAAAAACTGAAAAACCGAACCTTAATTTAGCTCAAAAACCGAATTCTCACCGCTTATTTTACTAAACCAAGTAAAGAATAAAACTTTGTGCTGTAGCTCATCTTGTTCTAAGGCTCATCCCAATTATATTAAATCGTTGGTCACTTGGATTACAAGACTAATAAACCCCCCGAGTCTTCTTGACTTCATTAAAGAATGCACGAGGGATCGAGGCTGCCTGTGCGATAGACGGCCACCCAAAACTGGAGGAAAATGCGAAGACAAAAAGGTGCTGCTGACATGCATGACGTGCCAGATTCCAGGACCTGAATAGACCCTCTAGAAAGAGCCGTTGCCTTCGTGAAGAGATTTATTATTATTAAAAAACAATGACTAACTAAACAACAAACTAAAATAAAGTATGGACCCAACAACATTTTTGGAAACCATCTTAAGAATCTGCCCAAATTAGCACAAATTAATCAACTCTTTAATGAAAAAAATACTAGACCAAGGTGATTCAGGTGCCGTCCACTTTAATTAATCGTTGTTGAATCATGAAGCGTCCTTAGAGATATATTATTTCAATAAATAAAGTAATAATTAAACGGGGCACCAAAATCACTAGCTCTGCAAGATGAGAACACCAAAATCGTCAGTTCATGGCTTCCTGCATCCTTGTGCCCTTTGCCCAGATGGACAGCTCCGACAGCTCCCCCTCAAAGAGTTACACCTGGGAACTTGCAATGTCCAAAACCTATAATAAAATCCCGGAGGAAAATAAATTATTTTCTCAAACTAAGCGCGTGCGTTGAGCCTGAAAAAATATTATTTTTTTATGTTTTTCCATGCCAAACACAGGTTAAACAACATTGATAAACACTGCCTCGTAATATAGAAGAGAGATAAATATAAAAAGAATCACATATGAATGTGTTTTTTAAAAATGTGTTTAAAAAAATTGATTTTTTTTAGAATTAATTTTTTTGATATTTTTAAATATTTTTGATATATTTAATAGCAAAAATAAAATTTATAAAAACGACAGATCCCATCATCAAAATAGCCATAGATATCTACTTGTTACTGCCATAAAATTTCTTCAGCAAACACATGATTTTTTTTATAATTTCAAAACAGATGCTGCTTGCCAAATTTGAAATTCTCCATGTCGAAAGTTAAGGGCAAATGCTGCCTGCCAAATTTGAAAAACTGATGAAATTCTCCATGTCGAAAGTTAAGGGCTATTCTTGACCAAATCATTTATAGTTCAAGTGATCATCATGCCCTAATTTGAGCAGTCGCTCAAATTGGGCCCACCATCCCACAACTGGTCACATCAACGGTAACGAAACACCAAACAACAATGATCAATCAATAGAACGACCGTAGACAAACAACGGATATAAAGTAATCCTGAGGCGTTTCATGGAAATTACTTACTTGGATCCTTAGGCGTCATCGTAGCTAACCCGTTGAAGGAGCAGGTCCCACCACTTTTCTTAAACTGGGCCCAATACGAACTAAACGCATAACTCGCATGCCAAAACAACGAATCCGGCTTATAACACTTCTTTCCGGTCTGGATCGCGTCACAAGTTCCATTCCCCTGCGAACAAGCGTACGATAACGCATCTCGCACTGCAGTCTCGTTGACTCCTTTAGCAACCATGCACCAGATCTTCCCTTTATATGGCTCGTTATTGGTCGGAGCCGGCAAGGGCTTCTTGTACTCTGATAACGGCGTGTCTCCACTGAGATCAATCTCGTAGATTTTGGTCCCATTTGGGTACAATAATCCGAAATGTCGCTCCGTACCCGGACCCGGTTTCTGGTTCTCGTTATACAGGGCGAAGATGATACTGGGTATGACCCAACCGGGTCGGGCTGGGGTTCCGATTGCGGGTTTTGTTGTGAGTTTTTTTACGACATTGCGATTGAAAGTGGCTGAGTTGTAAATATTTGCTCCGATTTGGTCAATATCTCCATCATTAGGCCAACCCGTTTCAGCAATAAAAAGACGAACGCCCGGATACCCGAGCCGTTTCATCGCAAAAACGACAGCGTCTAACATCTGGTCTAAGAGGTTGGTGTAGGTTAAGTTTGTACCCGGGTCGGTGTATGTTAGGTTCTTGGCTTTGAAAAGAGCGTAGTCTAAATTGATGTTTTTGTAGTTGTCGGCCCAGGCGAAATAAGGGTAGACATCGATGAAAAAAAAAGATTTGGTCCGGTCCAAGAATCGCAACATCGGTTTAATTATCGGGCCCGAGATATCGGACCGGAACGTGCCATTCGATGGTGGGAATGAAGACTCGAGAACGTTTATCGCAGACGTGGTGCCGACTTTGATTTTTTTGATCTTGTGGGATTTTAAGGAAGCTTTGATTCGGCGCATGGCAGGTACAAGGTTGAACCATGTGCCCGTGTCAGGATTTGTGAGGATTTCGTTTCCGACGAGGAGATATCGGATTTTGACATCGGAGTAGTAGGGGACGACATTGGTTTTAACCCAGTGGTCTGAGAGAGATTGGCTTTTGGAGATGTTTTGTATGAGTTCGTTAGGGATCATAATGGAAACTTGGATGTCAGTGTCTTTGAGGGATTTAAGGATGTCTGGATTGGCATCATAGATCTTGACTCGTTTGGCTTTGAGGGATTTGATTAGCTCCACTGACTCTGAAGGAGATGGGAGATTGTTTCCTAGCTGACCGTAGTTTATGCCCACCTTGTTAGAGATCTCTGCACCTGCAAGTGTGAAGACCAATGGGGTTAGGGTTAGACTTAAAACAACACAAAACCCAGTTCGTCAATCTTAAAGAAACAAAAGATACACTTACTTGAAATGGAAACTAAGAGAGCGAGACTGAAGATGGGGACGAAACCTAACCCCATCATTGCTCTTTCGCGTCAAGTTATTTTAGCGGTTATGGAGAATAAGCAGAGGAAGGACCTGTAGAGAATGGAGATAACAGGGGATCTGAATGGTTCCAAGGAATTGAAGAGAGAAGGGGTTTTTTCAGACTTCTAGGGAGGCGTGGGGGTTTAAAACATGATGCGGGAGTTCAACTAGAGCACTGACCAAGGCAATAACTTGTTGAGTTCAGAGATATAGTGATGTCGGCTTCTTTTGTTGCTGTTGGGAATAATGTGCCAGGTGGGATACCAAGGAATATGTCGCTTTTTTTTCTCTTTTTTTTTCTGTCTTTAGCTTTTGTGGAAGGATAGAGAAAGGGGGCAGAGGTCGAGGGCGACGCAGAAAGAATAGAGTGAAATGAAGGCTAACATATGTGACAAGACAAGGGAAATAAAGGAGAGATGAGCGGGGCTTCCTGCGATGCCAGGCTTTTGCTTGGTTTCTAGGAAAGAGGGTAGAAAGAAGGCTCATGAGACAGGGAACATGATGACTTGGAAAAAGAAATGCCCATGTCAAAAGGTGCAAATTAGCCGTTTGATGCCGTGGCCCAGTGGCTCTCTGGTGGCTCGTATACAGTTTGTGCTTTGTGCTCATAACAAGCTTAGGCGAGAAGCAGCTAAGCAAGTGGTTGCCTTATGGTTTCTTGGCTTTTAACGTAGTTGTACGATCCCTCTTGACATAGATGTAGAAAAATGGTTGGGTTAGAATGTTGTGTTGTTTTTTTCTTTTTCTTTTGTTAATTGTGTTTAGATTGTATTTGATAATATCATTTGTAAATAATTAAATTTTATTGATTAAGCACTGTCTTTTTAGAGCTTAAATATAATGGTTATTTTTTAAAAGAAAATATATAAAAATAATATTTTTTTATTTTTTAAAATTTATTTTTGATATTGATCAATCAAAATAATAGAAAAGCATTAAAAAATAATTTAAAACAAAAAAAAATATTTTTAAAATTCAAAAACAAATAAAGTTAACCAACTTAAAAATCAACTCAAACTAAATTTTGAATCAACAATTTATTGATTATCCTATAAAATAAACCTGGTTTTTTCATGATTATGCTTCATATCCAAATCCTTAAGAATTCAATGCTTTTTATAGCTTAGTTTTATACGGTGTTTGGTAAGATTTTTTTAAAATATTTTATATTTAAAAATATATTAAAATAATATATTTTTATTTTTTAAAATATTTTTTATATTAACATGTCAAAATATATTAAAAAAAAACATAATTTGAATCCAACGCTACCTTAGTTATACAGCTCTTCTCAGTTAAGATGGATGGAGTCCCATTATGAGGCGTTTACCAGCTTCGTCCTTCTTGCGTAATGGCCTGGTGGCTATGGCTATAGATAGATTCGCTGGGAAAATTAAATGACTTTGCTGAAGAAATAAATTAAGGGCCAAAATAGACAACAAGCACTTCAAGAAAA